CTGTGGCCCCAAGTGATAGGGTGCTAGTCTTCATGCCAGGGGCAGTATATCCTTGAGCTGATCCCTAGACCTTGGTCATGGTGCTTGGAAAACCCTTTCTTTTCAGCGTCTCTGCTCATCTTAATCCTAATAATCCTGTATTTTTTCTGTCCCTCTTTTTTGGAAAATCCTTTCCAATCGTTCTGCTTTGTTTTCTCCTCCTTTGTCTTTCATGCTGCTGAGCTGATTTTTCTCTCCTTTTATGAAATTCTGTGCTCTTTCCCGAGGTGATTGTGGAGCTCTTCTATGTCCGAACTTAATTCACTTTCCAGATATTTTTAAAGTAGAGTTTTTGTTCACTATAACACTTCTGTTTTTTTACTGTTTTGAGACAGGGCTTCACTCGGTAGTGTAGGCTGGAGTGTACTGGCACAAGCACAGCTCACTGCAACCTCAAACTCCTGGGCTCCAGTGATCCCTTTACCTTAGCCTTCTGAGTAGCTGGGGTCAAAGGCATGCACCACCACACCTAACTAATTTCTTATTATCTGTAGTGATGGGGTCTCCCTGTGTTGTCCAGGCTGGTCACAGACTCCTGGGTTTAAGTGATCCTCCCACCTAGCCCCCTGTAGTTCTGAGATTACAGGTGTGAGCCAGAGTGCCTGGCCTATGATACCACTTTTTAACACCAACAGTTAGAAAAATGCTATATAAAAAAATCTCCTTTTTTTTTTTTTGAGATGGAGTTTTACTCTAGTTGCCCAGGTTAAAGTACAATGGCGCGATCTTGGCTCCCTGCAACCTCTGCCTCCTAGGTTCAAGTGATTCTCCTGCCTCAGCCTCTCAAGTAGCTCGAGTTACAGGCACCTGCCACCACACTCGGCTAATTTTTTGTATTTTTAGTAGAGATGGGATTTCACCATGTTGGCCAGACTGATCTCCAACTCCTGACCTCAGGTGATCCATCCACCTTGGCCTCCCAAAGTGCTGGGATTACAGATGTGAGCCACTGCACCCAGCCAAAAGTTCTCCCTTCTATAAATCCCTATTCTGTGCCTCTCTGTGTCAAACCATCTGTAAGCCCATGGATTAAAGATATGAAGACCTTCTCTGCTCCATGGAAGCTCATGGTCCAGTCAGATGGGAGCTTCCCAAGCTGATGAATGTGAAGAGAGTGATGTCTGATAGCAGGGCCCACTCTGGAATAAGGGAACATAAAAAAAGCTTTGAAAGACAAATTGGAATTCACTGGAACATTAGGCCCCTCCTGTTTACTTACAGGAACCTTCATCCATATAATTCTTTTGAAGGCAATAGCTTTCTAACAAATTATTTACCAAATTTCATTCCTAGAAGCAGAAGTTTGATTAAGTACATGCCAAAATAGTACCATATACTATACCCAGCTTAGTGTATTGGACTGTCTTAAAAGTGGCATAGCTTTAAAAAATATAAACAAGCTTCCAAAAGTGTTGAATTTGCTCACAGATGAGAGTTTTATATCTGATTACTAAAGCACACCAAGGTTGTTTGGGGCCATAACTTTTATAGTTCTCCATGTTCTCATTCTCACAAATGTTCCATGTTTCTTCTTCAGAATAAAACACTCAGCTGGATACATTAGAGCATACTCTGCCACCTTAGGGCACAGCAAGAAAATAAGGAATGGCACCTTATATTTTACTTTTGGTTTATTTTTGTTTATGTCCTATTTTATGTGTTTTGTAGTATATCTTAAATGTTAAAAATTAAATGTATATATGAATACATACATGAACTTTAATCAGATATGCAAATGTAGGTGCATATCATCCAAAATTATTAGTATCTCTTTATTAGGCTTTGTTTGATTGTAAGTAATAGAAAACCTGAGTAAGAGTGACTTAGACACAGTGTGCTTATTACTTATTCAACAAAAATCTAGGTAGGTGGTCTTAGAGTTAGCATAGCAACCTAGTGATTTTATTAAGGGTCCAGAATTTTTCTATATTTTTATACACATCTTTTGCATGATGACTTTCAAGAGTAAAAGTTCACTTCATGATGAATTACACTTACCTTACCCAATGCCTCTGTGACTTCCAGTAATACTATATAGATAATATGTAGTAAAATCCGTAGGTAAAATTCTAAGGTTTCAAATGTGTTGATAATTTCCATTATTTCCTTAAAGAATTATACCTAATATTTTATTATTATGTATTATATTGTTATTAAAAATTTATACTAGTAATGTTTTCTTTGAATTCAGTAAAGCCATTGTGAATTAATTTGGGCATTCTATAAGCTATGAAAATGGAAAACCTCAGTGTATGTTAAGCCTGATATCTCAGGTTTCCCACCCCAGACTTTTGCGGAGCCATTTACTAAGGTCTCTGATCCTCTGTAATGTGTTGATAGATGATAACGTGACGGAGAAATCGGTTGGTAGAATGGGGCGGTAACCACTAGAGACAACAGTTGTCAGATGGAAATTAATTGATTGTAATTGCTTTGCCATTGTGTTGCACTTGAAGTCTGTAGCTTGTTAAAACCACTGATTATAAAATAAGGATCTCACTTTTTATGCTGTAGATTATGTTAATGAAAAACTGTTCTTAGGAGCATGATCAGTGAATATCAATAAATGGATAATAGAAATTAAAGGAAAAGTTAACTAACTAATCTTGAGTTAATATACTTCAGCAGCCAGAGTAGCAGTCAACTGTGCACCGTTTCATATTGAATTTCTTGCTCAGAGCTCTTGAATTTTAAATATTTCCCATAGAGAGATTGATTCTGTATGACTGTTTGTCACATACTGTCTTGAATAACAGATCTTTACTATAGAGAATCTCCTGCAAGATGGAAAATATGTCTGTTTTGCAGAGGCTTTATTTTGTTCCAAAGTATTAACAAGCAGATATTTTGAAATGGAAAACAAAGGTTCTCATTGCAACACCAAGAAAAAGGACACCCAATAGTGGTTATTTCAATGCCCATGGAAGATGAGTAATATATGTGTGAGGGTCTGTGTGACTGTGAAGGTCTTGCTTTTGCAATCTTTATCAATACTATAAAAAGATACTAAAATGATAACATAAATGTTATATTACATTTGACTTTTTGCTGTACAAAATGCAGTGTTTTGTAAAATTGTAATGAGATTTTTAATTATATCTTTCATTTATAGCATTTAGTTGTTGATGTTAGAGAGATCAGATATTCTGAAGATATTTATATGAGCACCAATTCTCATTAAGCATCCCTGCCTGCCCTCAAGGACCTTACAGAGGAAAGGAACAGATAAAACAAAGAAAAGATTGCTTGCAGGGTTGAATGCAGTGATGACCGTGGTAAGAGGCACTTGGAGGCACAGAATGAGACCATCTAAGTTCTGAGGGTTTCTGGTGTCTTTAACAAAGAATGAAGGTCTGGGAAGATGGGGCAATGTGACAGTTCTTGATATTTTGGGGAAATAGAATGATAGTTGAAAATTAAGTTGCATGAAGTTTTAGAGTGCAAGAAGAGACCAGACAGATAAACACATAGATGATCCATGCCCTGGTTTGCTCTACTATGGATTTTGAAGTTATTGCCCCAGGAGAGCCCCAGGAGGATTTTTGTATGTGGGAGAGACAGGGGTGAATTTCCTTTTAAAATGTTCACTTTCCATCAGTTGTGACGATAAGCAGGGAAGAAGCTCATTGTGACCTTAATTTACTGTCTTAGTCCATTTTCTATTGCTTTAACTGAATACCTGAAGCTGGATGATTTATAAAGAAAATACGTTTATTTCTTGCAGTTTTGGAGGCTGGGAAGTCCAAGGTCAAGGGGCTGCATCTGCTGAGGGCATTCTTGCTGGTGAGGGCTCTCTGCAAGCCCTTAGGCAGTGCAGGGCATCACATGGATAGGGGGCAAGAACATGCCAACTCAATCCTTTTTTCTCAAACAGCCAACAGTTTCGTCATGGGGGCCTCACCCTGATGACCTTATCTAATCCTAATTACCTCCCAAAGGCCCCACCTTTAAACATATGAATTTGAGAATTAAATTTCCAACACATGGAAAGGAATTTGGAAGACACATTCAAACAATAGAGGTTAATAAGCTGGTATAATATGCCATGCTGTTGAATATTATTATTAATCTAATCTATGTAAAGGAAATTAAAAGCATAAGCACTGAATAATGTTTTCTTCTTTGATTTTTGAAGTATGTTTTTTCTTGAATGTTGTGGTAGAATTGGTGCTAATAGTTTAGTTGCTTAAAACTAACTAGAATAATGTTTACATGTGGTAATAGAGTCTGTATCTTGTAGATAGCACATATTTATAGTTAGTCTTGTATTTGGGATGCAGATATTGATATATAACTTAATTTGAGAATGTAAGTAATTATGATTTTAAAAATGCATGTTTAAGATAATGCTAAAAATGATAATAATTGGTCCTGTTAAATATTTACTAGAAACATTCTTCATATTTGAGAATCTGTTTCAGAATTTAGAACATTTGCATTTTAATTACATAATAAAAGGAGAAAGTGAAAGAATAATTGGCTTAGCTATTAGCCAATTATAGCTGTAACTAAAAAAAAAATCCCCAAAACTGACATTGAATTCCACAGAACAGTTACAATATACGTTGATCAGATGTTTAATTATATTTGGCAGCAATAAAGGGAAGGGAATGTTGTTTCAATCCTTCGTACAACATGTTTGTTAAAATTGAAATTAATGGGAGTGGATTTGGGGTGTTTAACTGAGGCTCATTCAGCTTTTAGTGTTTACGTGTCCTCAAATGAGGCTTCTCCAGTGACTCCAATAGTTAAAATGTAGTGGAGAAATAAGACAATTGAATACAGTGGTTACAGCAAGCTGCATTTGGTCAGTACCATGGAGGTTTGGGGCTGTCTGTCTAGAGTCCCAGAGGTCAGACCCCGTGAGAAGGCCTCCATACAGAGATCCAGGGCCAGTGACAGTAGTTGGTGGTGTCAGAATGTCCTGCTGACAGCATTTCCCTCTGTGCTTTCCTTGACAGATACGACGACATATTCCACAGAGCGATCTGAGCACTTCAAACCCTGCCGAGACAAGGACCTTGCATACTGTCTCAATGATGGCGAGTGCTTTGTGATCGAAACCCTGACCGGATCGCATAAACACTGTCGGTAAGCCACTGCGGCCACTGGTGGAAAGGGCAGGCCCTCTGCGAGGCCTGGGGGTGGAGGGTGTTAGCAGCGTCTGGAATGTAGTGTCTTGGATACACACAGTCCCATCGTTTGAATATCGGAATTGGGAGTCTTAATATGGAAAGGGTAAGGCTGCTGTGTCGTTAGCATTTGAAGAAGACAAAACGGAAGCAAAGTAGTTATGGTTTAAGTTTTCCCTGACCAAGCAAAGAAAGATTTACTTTTAGATCTCCCAAGTTAATGGAAATAATTATTTACACGCTTTAGAAGCATACATTTATGAGGCGGAACATAGGCATATATTCTAGTACTCAGAAATAATCTGTTCTTGAGAACCTACAGACTATAGCAGGAGAAGCAAACTGCTCATCTAAGATCTGGAATCTCAGCGTTTATTGTGAACTAACCCCAGAGACTTTATGTCCAGAGAAAACTGCATTTGATTTTATTTCTAGCCTCCTTTATTAATTTTGGTACTTTTTCTTAACACCTCTGATGAAACACTCTCCAGCAAGATGTTGTAAATGAAAACATAGTCCTGTTATACTCTAGGCAGAGAACTACTTGGGGAAAACTCCCAGTAGAGATCAGGAAGGTGTTTAATTGGTTTTTAGAGACATAAAGTTATATAACGCCTACAAATAAAAACAAGGGGCTGATAAAGAGTGCCCCGCTTGTAGACACTGTGGCTTTAAGGCTCAGTAGAAGAATCAAATTAACGTCTGAAAAATATTTCTTACCAAGCTTTCATTTCCAGCAGTACCCTGGTAATTTGTTTTTGCCACTGTGTATGCATCAGTGATCATATATCCACACTCCTTTTCTTCTCTTTATTTACTCTTCTCATATGGCACAGTTATTAAATTAATTACTCTGAATCATGAAGCATGGAAAATTATAACTTTTTCTTATTACTATTACAAAACTCTATTCTCATGTTGTTTCACTAAGATAATGTGGAGAAGGATATCGTTTAGTTACGAACTTAGAACATGCCATGCCAGCAGCAGCTGCCTGGTTCCAAGAGCCAGCTTTAGTCCACAGGGAAGATGTACTGCCACACTGGGCAATGGCACAGGTTTGCAAGAACAGATACATGGTATAGTAGGAGGGCTCTGTAAAAGTTACCGTATGTCCTGTGCCAGGACAAATAGAAGTGTGACCTTTCCTCACCCCAACATGTGGTGTTCATATGATTTTGGCAGTGCTGTTGCATTTGCCCTAGTTGCAAAATGTATACCTTCTTCCTATGCTCTGCAAACCTAGGTTGGGAAAGAAGGGGGGTGGGGTTTATTTATCTCCACACTCCTCTTCTCTCATATTTATTGTGACTGGACACGTATGGATAGGAAGCACACAAGTGACATTAAGATGTCAAGGGGAAATCCAGGAATGAGCTACCATACCTTCAAAGCATGATGTGCATGCAAGCTGTTTTAGATCCTCAACCATGTTGCAGTTACCTTGGCTAATCTAACGGGATTATCATGTGGAAGTGAGCAATGCAATCAATTATGTTTGAATTCCTAATCAATTGAAGAAGGGGTGTTTCAGAAGCATTAGCTAAAGCAGTGGCTTTCTTTGATGGTGTTTTACCTGTAGGAGGGATCGGATCAGGTCCCACCACAGTATGCAGGCTGAGATGATTTCCTCTTTTCCAAAACTGTGACTATCAAGAGAGCAAAGTAATTGTTCTTTTTCAGCATATGGCCATGCTGTATTCTTCATTACTTCATGAGTGTATTAATTTGCTAGGACTGCTGTACTAAAGACTGGGTGGCTTCACTATGGACATTTATTTTCTCACAGTCCTGAAGGTCAGAAGTTCAAGACCAGGGTATCAGCAGACTTTATTCCTTTGGAGGCCTATCTCCTAGGCTTGTGGCTGGTCAAGGAAATGTATGTTCTCATTATGTTTCCTCTGTAGGTGTGTGTCTCCTAAATTTTCTCTAAGGACGTCAGCCATATTAGATTAGAGCATAGCCTGATGACCTTATTTTAACTTCATTACTTCTGTAAAGGCCTTTCTCCAAATATCGTCACATTCTGAGGAACTACTTCATGTAGGGATTTTATTTTTGGTAGATACATTCAGTCTATAACAATGAGTTTCATGTCCATAAAAGAAAAATGATCTGCTTTTGTGCATAAGCATGTACATGTCTAATTTTTGTAACACACATAAGCAGATATTTATCTATAGTTCAACTGAAATGATGTGCTTATATAATAAATTTGGCCTTCTGTCTTCATATTTCTTGCATATTTCAGTACAGACAACCTGTTATTTAACACAGATGTACAACATAGCTAATCATGACAAAAGACTAGCCTAAGACAAAATTGGAACTCGAGTAGGTTAATAGAAGCCTATAAATCTCCTACTAGTGTGTATGAATAAATCACACATCACATGTGCCTGCTATTCATCTCTCAAGCTTTGCTGTGAATAAAAAGGCTTATGTTCCTGCATCAGCCACTTCTAAAAATTCCAATGTAGTTATTAATAATGTGCCATTTTGTACAGCACTCTATTTAAGTAGTATCTTTCAGTCATTCTTCTCGTATTCAACAGATGTTTACTGAGCACCTCCTATCACTAAGATACTGTTGAATAAGTACATACAGAAATGAATTTAAAAATTAAATGGCACAGTGCTTTGTAATATGTTTGGAGTAAGTAACATAATTAATCGTTAGGAAATTTTAAGAAGCAAAATACTTCAGAGTGACTGACGTGCTACCAGGGTTATCTTTATGACACTGTAGTTATTGGAGTTTGTTTCAAGTTAAATAAGATGCCATTTAATAGATCTGAGCCGCAATATAAAGGCTTGTGCATGACCCTAGCTTATTCAACAGTTTATTTTTATATGTCTCAAAAGATTAGACATCTAAAGCCGAAAGAAATTAAAATTATATTTCCTAGATTTTTTGAAAAAACATTGCAATCCTATAAAAGACTGCATCAAATATTTTTTTCTATGTTGCGAAAATAGGCCATGCTCTGACACATTTCTTCTTCTCAAGGAAGAATAGGAACAAAACTACCAAACTACTTGTGATAGAAATCCTGAAAGTACATGCTCAAAAAAAAAAAAAAAAAAAAAAAAAGACAATAGTAATCTCAGGAAAGGGAGGAGTTTAAGGTGGGGAGACTTATTTGTTTCTTTGTAATTTTCTTATTCCAGTTCTTCAAGAAACATTTGTGTATCAATACTTAGAAATTATAAAACAATTTAATAAAAAATATTGCAGGAATAACAAAGTCCTAAAAATAACTTGACAGAAGGATTTTTAAAGAACAAGACATAAATAGAGAAAGTTGATTTTCCTAAATTAAAAATATTATTTTTATGTGTGTGTGTGTGTGTGTGTATTTTTAAAAAACTTTTCTGAGAGGGAGTCTTGCTCTGTTACTCAGGTTGGAGTACAGTGGTGTGATCTTGGCTCACTGTGGCCTCAATCTCCTGGGCTCAGGCCATCCTCTCTACCCAGCCTCCTGAGTAGTTGAGACCATAGGTGCTCACCACTGTGCCCGGATAATTTCTGTATTTTTCAGTGTGGAGATGGGTCTCACTAGGTTGCCCAGGTTGGTCTCCAACTTCTGGCTTCAAGCAGTCCTCCTGCTTCAGCTTCCTAAAATGTTGGGATTATCATGCCCAGCCTCAAAATATAAAGCCACAGACTATCCACAGGCTAATTAGTGAAAACAGATTCTGACATATTGTGGGACTTCGTATAGGACAAGGATTGATTCATAAACCAGAGGAAAATGAGGGACTGATTGTTCAATAAATGATTGACTGTCAGGTAAATAGAATCAGAAGTGTATGCTGACCCCTCTTTCTACACCAAAAAGTGTACTAATAATTTCAAAAGTTAATGTAATAAACAAACAAAGCCTAAGGAAAATAATCAATAAAATTACATATTTATTTATGTCAGCAGTTGTAAGGACCTTGTGAGCAAATAAAAGCAATGGAAGGCAAAAATTAACAACTTCGACACAGCATTACTTTTTATCTGAATATCATAAATCAGAAACAAAATTAAAAGACGAAGTCTGAGGAAACTGAATAACAAATGCGGAGAAGAATTCAAATCCTGAAAAAGTCTTTAGATCAAAGGGCAACATTAAAATAAAATCTCAATAGGGAAATGGACAACGGGGCCTAACATCATCTTCTTAAAGAGAAAAAATACAGATAACCGATAAACAAATATTAGCCTCACAAATAAATGCAAATTAGGTATTTTTTTTTATCCCATTCTTCATTTAAAAAATTTTTTAAAGTGAATACTGTACCCCGTTTGGTGAGGGAGCTGTGAAAACACGTGTCTTCAAAAACTACTTGAGGAAGTGTATTTTCTTAAAGATTGTTTGTAGGTAATACTTTAGTATGTTTTAAAAGCCTTATAGTGTTTCTAAGAATCCAGCCTATAGACGTGTTTGTGAAGATTTATTTGTAGGGATGCTCACCAAAGTTTTATCTGAATTAGCAAAAATTTTTAACAAGTCTGAAATTATGAATTTAAATGTCTATATAAATTAGACTATATTTTTACATTAGATGAATTTTCAGTGTTTTGAGAATATTAAATGGTTATTATGTTATATATAAAAATTCAATGTGAAATTGCAAACTTGAATATATAGTAGAATCCTAATTCTGGAAAAAAAAAAAAAACTAAACTAAAAACGCTGAGCGTTTACAACTATTTTCTTCTTTCAAATTAGCACATTTTCTAAGGTCTCTATATTACACATATACTTCATTTGTGTAATATCGGGTTAAGACACTTGACTCTTGCCTGTAGTCTTTCCATTAAGAAATACAGATAGTGACCCTGTCTCTGTGAAATCAAGGTCATTATAATTCACTATTAAGTTCAGAAGAGAACTTTCAATTAAGTGCTTCCAGATTAAACACTATTAAGTCTATTTGAATGTGTCTGCTCCTTCTTTTATTAATAAT